CGAAATCGACCTAATCGAAGTAGAATGATTACGAGGTTTTGAAAGAAACTAAGCTTATGTACCACAGAAATAGATTACATTGTGTTTTACAATGCTTTTAAATCAATAAAACTTTACGAGATGACAAACGGTAATTGCTGATCATCAAAGAGGATAGGTCGTATCCAAGGCATGCTCAACTCCCGACTTATTTATATGATAATGACGCGAATTTCCTTCTCTGTTGGGGTAAATTTGACAGCAGTATTTTTAGTTTGTGGGAGATTCGCTCGACTCTTTACACCGATGATCTACACTAATTATTTTATCACTAGATCACCAAATAAATTGAAGAGGTCCTAATATGTTTTTTGAATGAGCGACTGATAGAAAAATAAACCACGGCCATTTGTGTTAGATAAAGATAGCCACAAAAGGACAAGACCGTTCAGTCGTAATTATCGGCCAGTTTCTTGAAACAGTTTGTATCAAACGTTTGACCAAGTTCATCGGTCATGCTACTTGAATGTCAAGTCGTGCAAATGCTTTGTGAAAATATCCATAAATATTTTTTGATAAATAATTATTGTATTGTTCTCGTATTATCTAGTAGGTAATAGGTAAAGTTGTTTTAGATGCTCAGTACTTTTAGTGGTTCAAAATATGTGCGAGGGCTGCGGTTGGTTTAACGGAGGATATTAGGACGTTTTAAATAACAGTCGAACTCGAATGGCATAGTGATAGTGTAATATGACATATGTGTAAACTAATTTAATGTGTGAGTTGATGAGCAATATAAAAAGTAGTAATACATCTCAATAAATTTAAAATATATATATATATATAATATAATATATATTTCTGCATGTGCAGGTACACACCGTTTTTACAGGCATGATCTATAAATTACAACATTTGTTGGTTCACAGAATGTTTCTCAAATCCGAGACATGACTTATGAAACTAGTTAAGAACCTGACGGAAGTTATATAGACTTCACAGGATGTTACTGTAGTTAGCTTATTAATACTTATAAATATGTGACGGCGATAGTAATGACGAAAAGTAATATTGAATCTTATAGGCTTTGCTCAGAACCAACACACTCATGTTATTATGTCGTCGTATGGAGCTGTTAAGTTTCTTAGATCAAAACGGGTTTGGAAGTGTTGGTTATACGCAACAATATGTATCACTATACTAGATGAAAATATATACATATTATGACATTTCAAAAATATGGTAAATCATCTAGTGAAACAGTGAAAACCGCCCGAATTGTCTTCGAACTTTGGATTTAACGTATAAAAACCAGATGTAAAAAATAGTGTGAATCGAAAAAAGACCAGATTAAGCACGATGTTTGGAACTAATCCCCGAACTTTCATGTTGTTATTGACCTTGTGACTCAGTTAACTCAACACGAATACGGAAAAGACCAGATAAACACTTCGCACTCGTCAAGTGAACAACGTCGCAACCTGAATCCATGGCTTGGAATAGTGAATCGACATGTGAACACGTGTTTGCTATGTTGAAAGACGGGACGGCCAAAGATATCAATGTCAGCCACAGCCTAGATTATATAGATGTACGTTATCGATATTTCTATGTTTGTACAAAAAATCATTCCTAGATTAACTTCATTTATATTTATGCAAAATGTCTGGAACTGAGAGACAAGGGATGAAAAACAGAAATTTTTCGGTAAGGAACAAATAGTAGATAATCAGGTGTCATTTTTCTCCTTCACTTATTTCAACAACAATTCGTACCTTGCTTTTGCAGTAATGATGAATTACTCCATTTTCTTCTAAAGGTACTCTGTGGTTCAAAGTTGTTATGTAACAGTCTGAGTGCTTTTAGTACAGTCAGCCTTAACTACAAGATAATTTTATCGCGGTTTGTATATTTCTTATCACGTAATCCTCAGTATCCTTGTTCTCCGTAAAAGCATGCCTCCGATGCTATTCATGAAAAAAGTAAATTAAACTGTTAGTGTACAAAACTCTGGGCAGCGTAAAGTAGAAATTATTTGTGAAGCAAATGTGGAGAAAATCCGCATATTTAGGAAGATATTTATAGCTATTTGTGTGATATATATCTGCGAAATTTCATTGAAAAATATACAGTGTACTCTATAGGTACAGCAAAAGTGCGGCAGGTTGAGATTTTATGTATTCATTTATAAAGTGAATTACTATTTAAACACTTCGCTCATGTCAGCGTAACAACTATTTCACAAGAAGTCACGTGTGTCAGAATTATTAGAGAAGCTGACGTCAGTGATAATTCAAGCTTTGACAGAATTTTAATCTGGTCAGTAATCCATAAGACATAAGTCATACGTCTGTTTGCCGATCTACCTTCTGTTAAATGACCCACTTCTAGTTGAAGAGGTCCATGTCCAAACACAAATGGGAAGCAATGATAGTGGCACAAACATATACAACGTGGTCACAACTGAGGTTCGTCAGGATGGTAAGGATGTTCCTTACCTTCGCTACACTACATGGCCATTGAGAAGCAACTTCAACACTCCCCATGGCTACGAGGGTGAATAACTACTGGAATTTGGTGACTTATATTCTTCAGAGTGCTATCTTATACGGCATTTATCGAACCGGAAACACCTAGAACGACAAAGTCGTGACCTAGGTGAGGCACGGAAAGCCTGAGACAGGCAGAACGGAAAGTTTCCTCTGAGGGGTGCAAAGCTCGAACTTACATGGACATGATCAAAGAAATCAATCGGTTCATGCAAGTGATCGCAAAGATTGGATGTTGAATGTGATACGTTTTTCGTCAGCATAACTGTCCAAAGACTGGCCAATGAACAAATGGAGGAATACTTTGGTAAAAACAACATCTTGCACGTCATCCAACACAGGTTCAGAAAAAGCACTTCTCATGAATCCAATCTACCCACAGTATGTGAAAACTTGACGACCTGCTGGTAACGTAAGATACTGGTTCGTGTGATGTCTCTTGATTTCGTAGAAAGCCTTTGGCACGATGCCCCTTCTATTTCTCATGACCAAGAGTTTCACCTACCGACATTTGTCTTGACTCCAAAAATACCAAGAGAACAGTGTGTTTCGTATCAAATTAGATAGAGTACATGCAAGTCAAAAGGTGTCAACATCAGGAGTTTCGCAAGGAACAACGAACTAATAATACCTTTACACGTGATTGCCCGCCGATTCCGAATTCCGAATATAATATGTTCATTTGTGTCCATCTATTTGTATCTGCCTTAAATTGCCCTATTTTGCGAATTCTTAGCTAGCGCATCACTTCGCGTACTTCTAATTATCACACAACCTTAGGTCCACTCCTGTTTTTGATCTCTATCAAGGACCTGTTAGATTAAATTAGCTAGGCGGTATTAATCTATGAAGTTGATACAAGGGTTTGAATTTCCATACGAGACGAAAATTATTCACGTGAGCTTCAAAAGTGCTATACAACAATAGAAGAATGGGCATTAGACAATGGGTTAAAATCTAACCTGTCGAAATGTCGTGTCATGAACATTCTGCCTTACTTGACACAAAGCACTAGCATCCTTCGAGAAATTCGGTTCCTATTGTCTCAGATTTGTAACCACAACAAGATTAGACACTGGAGGTATAACTGTAGAATTATGGTCTACTATAATGTTAGTACTGCTCTAATAGTAGACCTAATCCTAAAATTGTAGATTTGTCATGATATAACTGCCTAATCTATAAGTGGAAGTCACACCATCGACTACACCATCTCACTGTATTGTATCAATTACCAAAACATGATGTAGAACAAGGTTAGGCTAGAGAAAGAACAATATATTTAATATGAATAGAAGATATAAGGTAACATTCAGCAGGGACCATGCCTGCATGGCCGAGCCATGCCATTCGATCAACTTCAGTTCATTCAATTCCTTGTTCGCACCTTCTTCATCGTTAGGTATTTCTCCGCGTTAAATATTGAATATCTATTTTCCGAGTTGTCTCGTGTTCATCTTTGAGGATTGCGTGGTTATTGAACAATGCCACTACATAACTAAGGGGAACGCAAGTCTCCATTTTATTCAGAAACAGCTTAGCGCAATCATCTCAGAATTGTTCTTAACATCAATTAAAACATACACATCCACATCCTGAAGTTCAAAATGTCAAAAGACATATAGATCTCTTAGATCAAATGCAGAGACGGGCAGCTAATTGAATTGTATGTCCAAAACATGGACCTTCAAAGGACAGACTTCAACAATAGGCATTATTATCGTTGAGCTACAGGAAAATGCGAGGTGATCTGATGATCACACACAACATATTGATGACGCCAAGCCACATCAAAACGAGCCTGTGACCAGAGAATAATCACCACACTCCTCGAGGCAACCCTCGGAAGATTGCACATCGAAAAGCAAACACCCAGGCATGCTTTCACTTTGTCTCAATAAGAGTTACTCCGTTTGGAATGTCTTCCTAGCCACAGTGACCACAGCGCTATCAATGGATAGCATTAAGAGGTGACTTGACAAACGCATAACCACATGGATTACCATCAGCTTCTTGAACCAACCATGTCTCATGTATGTACAATAAATTACCTTGATTATCATTACCGTACATCAATAACTACTTCTCATCCCTTTGTTTGTAAGTTCCGTTCCTTTTCTCCCTCTTTCAATTTCGTCTTCCCACACACTACTAGTTATTTGACTTATTTCTTTCTTTCTTGGAACAATCGTCCACTTTTGACATTCGAACAAACTTCACAACTTTTTACATCGCAACCAGTCAACCCATTGACTGGTAATGTGATATCGTCTGATATCCGACATCTCTACTGCTGAGACAGACTCACTCGTTCAAATCACAAGATATACAAATCTTAGAATAACTACCAAATTCACTCAAATATGTGCAGTGAAGTAGCTATACCGCAACTCGCCGGACAATAAGAAGCGAGCACAAAGAAAACGATCGGGTTATGCAAACACGTGCTAATGATATTGGATATTGCACCGGCTTAAAATGTACAGGGTGAAACCTGCTCAAGGTCGTACGCTGGACATCCTTGTTGACATCGTGTTTCGATGACACAAGTTTTAATGAATTCAATTTAATGCTTCCACTCCGATGACTTATGCCCCTATACGTATCTGATATTAACCACCAAACTGTTAATTGTTATTTAAAGATTTTTCCTACCGAATTTCATACGTTTTAGGGTTAATTTGTCTTTTCTATTCATGAATTGATCCACTTGTCTCCAATATTTTATGTGATTTGTGCATCCACTTCTATCTGCTAAATAATATATCTATTCCGAGATGCCGAATGGTAGTTGCCGATTCGATATGTGACGGTACTTAAAATAAATTTTCAGAGTGTTGCAGATATCGTCACCGTTGCAATCATTGGAAACTTCGGAATTACTTAGCATTTTGGTAATTAATAAATCGTTTAAATAAAACTTTGTGGAAATCCGTCACAGGTGTTTCGGTTTGGGTAATAATTTTTCATATGTTATTATGCTGAGTGCAGCTGTGGATATTATACGAAAACAAAAAGATGTAAGATGGTTTTTTCCGAAAGTATTTATGATTTGTTTTCTCAGTGAAGTCACTGTTGAAAGTACTTTATTTGTTAGAATGCTACGATAATTAGATTGTGTCCAACCTCTCCCATCCAATTTAGTACTGTAGTCCCTCACAAACTACTAATTATGTTACAAAGCCGTGTATATAAATCCGTTGCACTGTCTCCTTAGCTAGATTTTGACTTAGTGGAGGATGATGACGTTTATATCCCTCTTTTTTTTTAGCTTAAACGTTTATTCCTTTATTTGCCCATGGGGCTTAGTGCTCCTATCCAGTAGCCTAAAATGAAATTGATTGAGTGGGGTTCAAACTTGGGACTATTACGCCTTTGATCATTTCCACACCCTCAAGCACGAACTGGCAAGAAATATAGCTCGAACTATTTCGTATAAAGATTTGATTATTAGCGAAATTATTTCCTTTCAATTACTCTAACTGGAGTCATTCAGTTTAACCCAACTAATTCGAGGACACGAATAACACTGGCCCAAAATATATATTCAACGGGATCTACTTTCAATCATTGACAAAGTTTGATCGATTAGGAAACAAGTCAGTCCGTCTTTCCAGATCATCTTTATACCGAGTTTGCAAAGTGGTTAATCCTTTTAGTGTTAGCGGACTTTTTCAGCAGCATAACGTAAAATTTCTCATTTACGCTTAAATGAACCCGAAAGCTTCGTAACTACTTAGTTGTGATTTTTTAAAATGTAGTTACAGTAAGATATATAAACTATGTATTGAATCTTCTTAACCAGTTGCAAATGATACTTGTTAACTGATTTTGAGTCAACTTCCTATTTCTTATCCTTTTACTTCATAGCCACAGATCGAATTCACTACGAACGTCAGTACATATCACATAAACTGTACAAAGATTGGGACGGGAGTATGTTTTTGTTGTTTTTAACTCTTTCTTATAGAGTGTCCTGTTGGCAGATATACTTCCGAGTATGCTTTTCAAGTTTATTTCTCCACTATTCATACAAAAACTTCATTTCCAGTAAGTTCTTTCTTTAAAGCAGTTTAACCTTAACTTATAATCCAGTTTCCTTGAACATGCAAAGTAATCCATAATCTACTGTGATCATTGGGCAGTCGCAATCATTGTATTTGTCCAGTCGATTTACGTTCACTAGTATGAGCGACATGAAATTACCTGCATCTCCTGAAAGAGGTCAGTTGTGGCAGGAATAGGTCATCAGTAACGTCTCATATTATGAAGTTGGGTGACACCGATCGGAATCCAACGGAGAGCATCAATGCCCTTAAGGTTGCAAACAAACCTTGTTTCATACCGACTACTTTTAATCAGTTAAAATTTTAGAGTCATTGTAGTATCTTTTGAGATTGTATTAACTATTACGGTTAATGTACGATAAAATATGTTTCAGCATCCGGTAGCTGTGAACTTTCGACTGTTATGATAGTCGCATTAAATTTCTGTTATGTCTAGCTTCAATCTAGAAAGTAACATTTAAGTTTATCAGGTCCTTTTGAAATTTCTTGGTTTTTCATTTTATAATAAGTTAGATGCTTCCTACGTAAGTTGCTTGTTGGGGTATATTTGCTCTTAACAGCCTGCCGATCTCTTTTTTTCAGCTTTAAAATTTTATGCGCTGTCCTACTGGCGATTAATAGTTTTCTGATGGTTTCATTTTCTCAGTCTTTCTCTACGAGTCTTTTTGGTAAGCATTTTCGGCTTAATGTGATCAGTTTAACTTTTGTTTCGTTCGAACTTGAAATCTGAGCAAAGGATTATGTAGGGAACATAATTCGTAAAAGTATGTTTTTATTAGCCCTACTTTAATCATAACTTACTGGCTGAAACTACTGATAATAGTATTTTCTTATTGATTAATTGAATAATATCAATGAAGAAAGTATTTATGTTAATTGTTTGACGTATCATAAAAGTTTTGAAACATTGTAATATTAAGGAACAAATAGGCAGACTGAAATTGTTTTGTTTCCAAGGGTTATTGATGCTAAGAATTGCAGCGGACCGACCTCCGTGCATCCTGAGCTAGTCGCCTCATTGTTTCCGTCTAATCACTAGTGTTTTTTAAAGTTTGGTAGTAACTAGCAGTAGCATCCAAGACAAAATTTGTGCTATATTATTTCACGCGTTAGTAAAATATATTATGTACAATATCCGTAAAGTCCTTTCTGAAAATGTATGTCATCCGCTCATATTGTATAAAATGTATCTTGTGGTAAATATGAGATTAAAGATAATGAACATATTTGGTATTCTATTCACATATGCAAATAATGAGTGTGGATCGTGGTGTATTCTGTAATAATGATGAGTGAAATAGATCATAAATAACTAATTAAACCGACTAGAAACTCATATTTCTTTTTTATGATCTTAACTCATTGTTAATTGATTCCTTTCTTTCTGAAAAATATTTTTAGGGATTGTGTCGGCAAGTTTATCTTCAGGAATCGGAGATGTTACTTTCTTAAGCATGGTAGCTTTCTTTGACAAGTATGCTAATCAGCTTTCGACATTGTATCTAATCGATTTTCTTTGACTAACGACTTCTTAGTGGGTTTCTTTTTAAGAGATTGGATCGTAAACTCTTCTCTCAGCCCTTGTTTATTCGAGCTGAGGACAGACATTAGCTTCGGAGGGCTTTGGGTTATGTATTTATATTCCATATTCACCATATTTTTTATTTTAATTAAACACGTACACATTGGTACAACGGGGTACCGAATACATATGCGCCACATAAATCATTCAATTTGTGTAAGGGCCGGGATACTATCCAGGTGCTCAAACTGAAGCACATGATTCCCTTAGGGACCACTCCTCAAGTCTTTGACCTGGAGGTCTAATCTGTAAGGTGGTGGAGCAACGGTGGGAAACGCAGTCTCAATGTAACCGGCGACCAATGATTGGTTCATGCGCCATTTGTTCGCTCAGGGTCCTGAAGCCCACATGCACCACTGGCTTGGAATTGAGGTTTTCCAACTCCCCTAGGTGAATCCTCCATATCCATTAACCCTGTTAAAGCACTGGACATTCGCTTTCGCCTTCTCAAATTCGTAAACAAAAGTAATACCGTGAGAAGGCAGCGACTAGGACTTCCATGGCAGTAGTTGTATACACGTAATCATGTGGTAGCATTTCGAGAGAGAGAGAGAGAGCTGACTCTCCCCAATCTTGGCCGTACCAGGGCATTTGAGGGTTTTGTTTCCCTGGTCTTATTAGCAAGTGAAAATCTTGTTGAAGTTCTAGAAATGACAAATTTTAAACTGAATCAAATTGTTTCGTTTTACACTTCATTGAGATTATTGTCTATCAAAGTCCATCGGCGATCCCACGTTTAAAAACTTACAGATTTCTGATATTTGTCAAAATGACATAGTTTTTCGTAGTCCACTCCATACATGCCATCTGGACAATGAAATCCAGTTGGTAACATATTTTGCTTTTGATGCCTGTAGTTATACATTACCTACAGGTTTTGTAAAAAGTTACTCGAGACTTGAGTAGCTCACTGGCATCATCTCAGTCCGTGAAGATGGGTGACATGTATTCGTATTTGGAAAAAAATCATCTGTTCCCTCGAGGTTCCAGGCAAACCTTGTTGATGAGCCTCAACCATCACGAGACATAGTTCTAGAGTTTCTTACTGATTACCTTCAGTCAGTTAACATCATTATGTAAACCATTGGTGTAGATTAGATTAACTGTTACAGTTGACTTGTAAAATCCACTCGTTTGAGACTACGTCTAAGTTTCTGTTATAAGTCGTAATTTACTGTAATGTTGATGTGACAAAAATTTTGGTCTAATATTCAGATCATAATTCATTGAAGATTACGTGACCTATAAGACTGATTTCGTTCATTCTTCTATGATATCTAATCACGTTCATCTTTTTGTCAACAGTTTGCGTGTAAGTTAACTTATTGAGTAAAAACATATATTTTCTTGGCTAATAATATTGTCTTTAATGTCAGCTCGTGCTGTGATTTGCAATAATAATCCAGTATTGTGATCTGTTATCATACTATTACATTTCTTCTGTCGATAAGGATTCTTTTCATTCATTTAACAATTTTTAAACATCTTTTACATGGAGTCATAAAACCATCCTTCATAAAAACGAGAGTAATCACTTAGCTTAATGGTCGTATTGCAAACATATAGGGTTTTATCTACTCTAGGAATTCTATACGCCTTTGTCTCATTAGTCACCTAATCAATTATTTTGTGTTTGTTGATTACTTGCGTATTCAACTTGATCTTTGATCTCATATACAAAATACATTACTATTTTATGATTTCATCAGTATGTGATTTAAAATAATTGACGATTTTTTATTTGGGGGTGGGGTGGACGAACTTTTCTCTAGATCTTGTATTTCGGCTTGGGCATGTGGAACTGGTGCAGCCGGTCTGATCGGTTCACTTTATTATGTTAGTTTGACATCAATAACTACACCGGAAATTACATTATGTATTGTCATTGTGGTTCCATGTACTACATTGCTAGTGTAAGTTGTTATATGATTGTTTTATATTAAGATAACTCACAACTTTTCTGAATTACAAACGACCGAAAAATGTCTGTTCATGCAACTGGGATTTACATGTACTTCTAGGGAGCTTTCTTAAAACACTGATAAAAATAATCTACTGTGTGTTTGATTTCTTAAAATAGGAATTCAGGAAAAGCTTGATATTCAAAAAGTCAACATCACGGTACAATAATCCTTCTTATACACAGCAACAACTATGACCTTGGGATGCGGAACAAAAATAGTAAATCAAAAACGAAAGTGACCAGATAGATAATAATATGTGCTGAAAAAAGTCTATCGAAAACTTCTTTATTTGTTAGAACTACCATTTATTAACAAAAACAATGCAAAACTAGATAATTTGAAACCTTTCTAACAGTAGTTTGGAAGGGCTTTTCATATCACTTTCTTTCTGTTGAAATCCATTTATTACTGAGAGGTAATAAAAGGCGAACTTCCTTTCTATTCCTTTATAAAACGCTATCTAATTAGTCCAATAGAAATAATAAAAATGTTAATAAAAGACATCCAAGACAGTTATTGTTTAATGGTTGAAGTGTCCAATTTTCGGCGTCTAAACCACTGGTTAGAATCCCGTTCTATCTACTTCGACTTGGACAACCGGGTAGTATCGTTTGCCCTTAACACATTTCTAGTACGACTCTAAACCAATTACAAAGATTTGTACCTGATAAATAAGTTGCAAATTTCAAGGTCTATGAATAATGGAACGGTTTTTTGATATTTTTCTCTTTCTCCTTTAATCGTTGTATAAACGTTTCTGACTTTCTTTGAAGTTATTGAGTTTTACTACTAATGTAGTGAGTGGAAACTATGGTACTGCAAACCAGTTTATTATTTCATGAAAATCACACATTGCCTTTGTAAAATATAAAAATCATACATTGAGTACATCATTTGCACACCTTCCTTCAATTGTCCTTTACATACTCGATCATTCTTCTAATTCTGTCGCTATTGCGATCGCTCTCTCTATCTTCCTTCTTCTCTTTATTTCAATCTTTTGCTGGTAAGCGTTCCACTATATACTATTTTTATCTGTTCACATAAGAGGCTCACATCACACTATCACATATCTCTCCTTCATACATTAAATTTAGCCGGGAACAGTATATAAAGTTGTTGTTGGTCATCAAGTTAAATAATTGATTACTACGCATACACAGAATATAAAGCGTAAATACTACTGTTAGGTACTAAATTACTTTGTTTTTTGTCTGTTACGTCACATTCGATTTATTATCTGCGTACATTTAGTTTAAAGTCAAACACATATGACATTATTATAAGATATCTATCTTATTTGTTTCTCTTTTTATATCAAAAAGTAGTCGTCTATCATTTGATTGTATAGATGTAATGTAACCAAAATAGTCAGTTCATGGATTTCAACTTTAATGAGGTCAGGAACTGGATTTAGTGTCCTTTTCTATTGAGAAATCAAACATCTCAATGCATTTTTAGTTCCCATTTTGAATTAAACATGATAAATTATATCTAGTTGCCGCCAACTACCTAACATCTATTAGATATAACTACTGGAACTAAGAAATTTATTGTTAAAGAAATCAAAAACAAAGATTGGTGCAGAATAATATAAATCCATTTTCGTTAAGTTCTCATCAGCTGTTTGCAACCTATAATATTTTAAAATCAACTTAAATTCAAAAGTGATGTGACAGGGTCAATCAACAAAAGACTAAAAACTGCATTGACAGGAGCTTACCTTGCAGCTAAACTGATTGTCTTGTCCAAAATAACATGTTCTTTAACACAAAGATCAATAGGTATCCCTTACATGTTACCATTAACTGTGTATACAGATTAACATGTATCTTCCGAATCAGTTATATTGGTAGGACAGGACGGATAGCCTACATCCGATTCAAAGAACATATTTTAAAAAGTTTGAGGTTAAGTGGATTAAAAGCATTCAACAGTATCATCTCAAGACATCTCAATATAGGATATCAAGTGGGTACACTGAAGTCCTTCAAGGTGAATGATAAACAGTCGAGTTATAATCTTCTGAAATTCGCTTAGGCGATAGTGATCGAAAGTCTAAAACCGAATCTATGTATACAAAACGAAGAAGTAATAAATCTTTTTGTCCTGGTAACATCACATTTTTTTTACTGCATCATTCATTATATCAACTCTTTCTAAAGTTTGATTACGTCATTATCATTTTTCTTCAATCCATAACTGGCTATTTCAATTCATATCCTTCTTTCTTGCTATTAATCTGTTTCTAGTTAGTTCATTACACAACCGTCTAGTGTTTTTTAACTCTATGATTTCTAATTACTAGTTCGATGTTCTGTAACTTTACCTCTCACACTTTGGAACAAGAAAATTAACTATGACCTTATTTACTCTATTGGAATCTTCGCTACGTCATGATACTCATATTCATCTCTAATTACCTTCGTATTTATATGTATGTCACTATCTGTAATAACTTTGACTTCAAATATCATAAGTTGTAAGCAACTAATGAAAACCTAACGAAATAAAATGAATTCATGCTATTCTGCACCAATCTATGTTTACCATTTCTTATTATTGATAATCAGCACAATGGTCTTTTTATTTCACATGGTTCTACATTTATCGATTAGAAAGTATGATGTTGATCATTGAGGTAGTTGATTTGGTAGTGATGTACACTACATCCGAAATAAAATCCTGGAGTGCAATGTGGATTCTTTTTTTAAGAGAATAGTAAAATCTCCACATGCAGTGGGAATATACCGTAATCATGCAATATCACTACATCCCACTGTTTACTTAAAAACATATGACAGGAAGATTAATAATTTGCAACAGTTTTAGTTCTAAGGATACATTATCAATACGGAGAACATTCTAATAGCCATTTTATAAATGATTATAATAAGTATAGTAATAATTACAAACAACTAATATATAATTTCACAAGTTGAAATCATGAGTCAGTTGAAGCTAGACCACCATTGAAAACCTGGTGGTCTAGCTTCAACTGACTCATGATTTCAACTTGTGAAATTTCTAAAATCTCCACAAAACCCATTCTGATAACTAATATATACTTACGAACAATTCTCCCTTAGGTATTTCTTCGTTCTAGACAGACCTCATCATGAAAAATTTCGACTGTGTTTCAACCCTATGGTTTCATCGGACAATTCCACGATGTCAACAGAGAGAATAAATGCATTAGTAACCAGTGAAGAGTCAGAGCACAGTAAGTTCCAAAAGTATTTATATTTTAACTACTCGTTAAGAAAAAGTAGTTAGATGTGTATCAATAAAACATGTGCATTTCAGGATTTACATAATGTCAGTAGGTACAGCGTACTTCTTACTAATGAACATTAAACAACATGAAGTATATTTTTTGGAAATTACTGGAATACATCTTAATTATTTAGTGACTTTACTTTGTGCAAGGAATATTTTTCATATTTTGTTTAATAGCAAACACTTGTATTATCCATTTAACATACGTAGTTTCTTTTTCTTCTTACAAATGTTTGTCATAATGACAATTTAGTTGAGATTGTTAATGACAATGATGTAATAACTGATTCCGATGGGTATATTCAACTGAGAAATGAAGATGATATGGTTTATTATGACAATTCACAAGTTTCCAATTATTCATCTCTACCTGTCCTACATCAACAACAGCCTACGTGGAAAATAAAACTACAACTGTTGAAGGTGCGTTTTTTTCTAATGTGTTTTTGATATAGATGTATTTGTAACAGTCATCTGGAATAGGAATTGCTCTCAAATGCCCTGGTACGGCCGAGGGTGGGGAGAGTCAGCTCTTACATGACCACGCGTATACAGCCACTGCCATGGAAGTCTTACTCATTGCCTTCTCACAGCATTGCGTTTGTTTACGAATTTGAGAAGGCGAAAGCGAATGTTCGGTGATTTAACAGGGTTGGTGGATATGGAGGATCCACCTAGGGGAGTTGGAGAACCCTAATTCCAAGCCAATGGTGCACGTGGGCTTCAGGATCCTGAGGGAACACATGGCATATGGACCGGTTGTTAGTCACCGGCTACCATAGGACTGCACCCCATTTCTTTGTTGCACTGCCTTGTGGATTAAACCTCTAGGTCAAAGGCTTGAAGAGTGGCACTGGACATTATTCCAGCCTTTTCAAAAATTGAATGATTTATGTGGTGCATATATATTTGGTGCCTCCTTGTACCAACGCTTGCGTTTGAATAAGACAAATAAAAAGAATATTAGGAATTGATGTAGTAAATAAAACTTCATTATTTGTGAATATTCTCTTTGCCATAATTTAATTTTCGTTATGATGGCGCTTAGCAATATTGGTCTATGATGAAGGGAGCATTCCAAGGTGTCAGTTTATCATGGTTATGTAGAACTGAATTATTTGAATTGAAGACTATATTCAAAAGTTATTACCATTAAGTTTTTATTTTAGTATGGTGATTTTATAAGGAGAAAGATATACTAAGCCATAATGTTTGTTGAACAACTTATGACCTTACCATCATAGCAGTGGATAATCATCACTTCGGCTTTTGTAGTTCATGGTCAATGTAAATTCGCAATCGTGCTAGTGTAGACTTGGTTTGTAGAGTATTGTTTTACAAAACACCGTCAAACCTCGTGTTTGTCATGATGAAAGTAGTTAAAATTATACAGCACTTTAAGTATAGTTTAAATACGGTCTAATGATAAAGTATTGTAGTAGTCATTGGTTCAAACTCCGCCCACCTATCTCGGATTGAGAAACCGGATATTATCACTGTCCCTCACATTTGGAATAAGACTTGTAGCTATGTGTATAAATCTGTACGTGGTATAGTATGATGTGATGTAAGTTTATTAATTCCAAATATTAAACTTCAGGTTTCGTTCCTATTTATTTTACTGAAGACAATTAAAAACTATTTTCAAGTTTTCTTCTGCTAATACAGTGTAATAAAAGGTATTATCAATTAAAAATTATTTGTATCATTCTTTAGCAATACAAACTAACTGATTCCAACTCATCATTCTATAAAAGATTTGGTCGGTTAATGAATCACAAATGCAGACTAATATTTGTTATCAGTATGACGATTTTTGGAGATTGTAGTATTTTTAATTGAATTCACAAGTTTATCTAAGTTAGACCACCATTGATAACCTGAAAACACTAGACCGCTATTCCGTTTTAGTATGGAACTCCTCAGCAGTGCAAGATCATGGGTCATGGATTGATTAACACCGTTAGATTCCGACTTGATGGTCTACAACTTAAGCGTTTGTGAGGGAGATTGAAGGTCTGAAGTTCAACTCCAGCGTGCCGGTTTGTGGGTGCGCACTACTGAGGAGTCCCATACTGGGACAAAACGGGCATCTTCTGCTTTCAGGTTTTTAATGATGGTCTAGCTTAGATCCACTTATGAATTTGACTAAAAATACTACGATCCCCCAAAATCGCCATACTAATGATAATCATATGCACATTAGTTACTAGCTTCAAAATGGGTTTCCTGGAGTTCTAATGAGAACCCGTGATCGATGGAGTCCAATCCGTGTCGTGTGTGAAGCAGTTATCCACCTCATACAATGGATGAAGGGTTGCACAAGATTATGGATCGATTGAAGTTAGACATTAGTATTTATTTCTTTAATGTACATACACTCTAATACAACTCTTCAGCAAAAATGATCCGCTCTACATAAAAATAAAAGATAACATTGAGAAAAAGAATAAAGGGAGATAGATTAGTATGACTGAAGAAATTGGTGAATGACAATAGTGTTTAAAAGGAGATGCAGTTCAGTCATCAATGCAGCCAATGAAGCCTTCTTGCAGTTAGGGGACCACGTTTCAATTTTATGAAGAATGCCAAACAAACCATGATAGGATTTCCGCTGACCTTTGTTCTGATCTATGTAGTGACAATGTCTGATACCATTAGCTTGCACGATCCCTAGGACTTCAACTAAAGTGGTCATGATGATCTGACGGATCCCAGTCTTATTCATCTGTCGTTTATACCTTAGTATTATTTCATTAGCTGACCACCTCTCTTCTCTTTCCGCTCATTGTCAGCAAAGAAATAATGTATTCATCATTTTCTAGGTGTTTTTTGGCTCTCTAATTGCTGTCTGAACATGTTTGTATTCATAGAAATATAAAAAAATCATTTTCATAATTTTTGTAACATCTTAAGTTTTCTAAAAATAATCTAACCTCTCATATATATATATATATATATATATATATATATATATATATATATATATATATATATATATATATATATATATATATATATCAGTCACACACTTGGAACCTGTTTGTATGTACATCGGTCCAAGTTGCCACATCTTATTAGCACCTAGATATCAAGTTGTCAGACCAAATCCTTAAATAGCAGATGTCGTAACAGTATTAGTGGTATTAGGAAATATTAGGCATTGACGGTGTGACGTGAGAAGAAAATATAAACTAGTGAAATAAAAACAAAAAAAGTTGTAGGGTATTTCGAATCTCAGAATTTGCGGAAGATAAAGAATGGATGCACCTGTGCGACTTTATTGCACAATCCAATAGTTGTCTAAACTCAGCAACTATGTGGATAACGTGATGGCGTTTGAAGCAAACGGTACTGGGTTCGAGTCTCGGAGTGTGTAGGATGTAATTACGTATGGATGAATTTCTTAAATAAGTCCCTATACTGTAGCACACAGAGTCTTAGCAGGACTAAACTGAAAACAAGTAACCATGTATACAGCCGAGAATTGTAAATCTTTTTCGAAAATGTAAAATTATACAACATATACAACAAACAGAGATATAAAATTTTCTGTCTAAATCTGTATTTTTTTTGGACTGATTATATTCCTTTGATCAACGGGAAAATAAATTAAAATTTTATTCCGATATTATCATATCATTGTTATCTCTCTTTTTCTTTATATTAATTTCTATTCAATATAGGGAATGATTAGTTCATTATTTTGTCTAGTTTCAGTTTATTTCTTCGAATATTTAATTAATCAGTCATTGGTAAGTAAATTGTATCAATATATTTATAAACTATTGATATTATATAAATGAAATATGTAAGTTTTAGTTGATAAAGGTTTTGAATTATCCCATTATTGATATTTAGCGCTTAATTTTGAATAGTTCTTCGTTAACATATGTTCATGTTGTGCGCATCGCCTTGATATAACTAATTTGTTTTAAGTTCTTTTACAATAGATAGATTTTATCAGAACGGGTTTTGTGGAGATTGTTGTAATTTCAATAGTTGAGATCATTAGTCAATTGAAGCTAGACCACCATGCAAAAACCTAGAAGCACTGGTCGGCCATTTCTTCCTATTGTGGGACTCCTCAACAGTGCGCATCCACGAACCCGTCTCGCAATATTTGAACCCAGAACCTATCAGTCTCGAGCGTGAGCACTTAACCACTAGACCACTGAGGCGGCATTCAACGGTGTTAATGTCTAACTTCAACCAATCCACGAAATTGGGCAACATATCCACGATCGTGATCAGTGAGTTACTATCTCACAACTGACCCAGTTGGTCACTGCTTCTCACTAGAACTCCAGGATATATATATATATATATATATATATATATATATATATATATATATATATATATATATATATATATATATATATATATATATATAGGTTAAGGCCTTGAAACGATAGGCTAACGGGTTTAACCTTGATTCTAGAATGTGTGAGTTGGGAATGCAGACTAAATACCTTGGGTAAAGAGATGAAAACTGTTCTACCACCTGATTGGTTGACATGCGGGAGAGAGAAGACGAGCCAACCGGAACACTACACAGTTTACTTCCTCTTCAGATCAGTGAATAAATAGATGAGTAGCACGACCACAACTCACAAACAATTGGAAAAATACAATTACATCTAAACTGGCTATTAGGGTAGAAAAAACAGTATCAAAGTTGGCGTATTAATTATAATAGCTTTGGAACAGAAAAAGGTATGGCAGTAAACCACATCAGACGAAAGCTTATGGTTTGTAGAATAAACTAGGGACAAATTTAAATATGGATATAGATGCGTCGCTCAATTTTGTGGATTAGTTTAAGTTAAACATTAATACCATTGGATGCCGACTCAGTGCGCCACACAAGTCACTTGATTTGTGTATGGGCTGTGATACTGCCTGAGTGCCCAGACTGAAGCAGGTGATTTTCTTGAGGGGCTACGCCCGGAGCCTTCGACCTAAAGGTCTGATTCAGAAGACAGTGAATCAACGTCAGGAGATGCAGTCTCATGGCAGCCAGCGATCAATAATTAGTTCATACGCCATTTGTTCCCTCAGGATCTTGGAGCCATTGGTTATGAGTCAGGATTTTCCAACTTCCGTAGGTGGATCCTCCAAATCCATTAACCCAGATAAAGCACCAGACATTCGTTTTCCGTCTTCTGAATTTCGTAAACAGCACCCCGGCCACGATAACACTGTGAGTAGGAATTCTTTGGCAGTAGCTATGAGATGGCATTTCAAGAGAGAGAGAGAGAGAAAGCGGATTCTCTCTACCCTCATCCGTACCAGGGCATTTGGGGGTAATATCTATATGGAACTAACTATTATTGTTCAAGTATCGTCATTTGATCACTGATCAATGCAATCTTTATTCATTGGATGAAATATTGTTTACTTACACTGGATATCAACACCAAGTAAAGTAACTGATTCAATAGTTATAGTCTTTGCTTATTTTCAGTCACTATCCTTGTTTGATTATACAACATAACTCAAAATCAGTCACGGTAACATAGGTGTATTTTTCTACTATTCTTTCTCTAAATCTGTAATTTATATGAGATATGTTAAGTTTAGTAAGTAGACTTTTATGTCAGATCCTGTTGTCTATTACTTGGTTTCGAAATGGCCAGTCAAAAACAATACGTAGCTCTGTCTTGGCACACCTGGTTGACAGTGGGCATATAATAGATAAAACTGAATTGTACACCGTCATTTCTCCTTACGGTTCGGTTTCGTCTCTTACTTATAACAGAAGCTATAGTGATTCGGACCCATAACCCCTAGTTTATGTGTTCAGAATAAGTTTGTGACACCCCTGTCCTTGTCTTCTTCAGTATATAATCAATTACGCACTTCTCATTGCGTAATTTTGACAATGTTTTGTGATTATTGTTTTCAAGTCTGTTTATCCACATCTGAACTATTGACCAGAACTTTTGTTATTTCATTATCACTATTTCTAGTACACATGCCCACTTACTATCAATTTGTCTTTCTCACCTATTATGTGTAGTTAGTTATGCAATCTGTTTCATTGTGATCATTGACTCATAAATTGCCTTGATTGGTTTAATATTTTCATATAAATATTAATGTATTTTAGAGTAACGTCTAATTGAAAACAATATTCTTCGCTTATATGCGTTATTCTGATTGATTGTTCATACTATTCCTTTGTTGAAATCATTACTACTGTTTTTTTTTATTTCCATGTTTTTTTCAGTTTGAATTACTTTACTTTCAAAATACACGTTTAACTGCTCCAGAACAATATAGATGGTGAGTAAAATTGTACAAGGATTTGAGTAGGATATTTGCTGTAAGAGATTTCCGTACTACTAAGTTAATTCAGTCATCAGATACTTGAGCATAAGCCACATTCTAAGTCTAGGCAGCTAATGATACTAACCGGTTACCCAAACGGAAGTGAGCGTGGTGGGGTTCGAACCTGTGACATCGTACCTAATAGTCCGTCTCCACACCTTGATACTACTACCATTTAACTTGCCGAATTGAATTCAATTGAGTAATCGCATCCCAGGTTAGTACTGATTGTTCGAAAGTCGAATGTATTTTACACTTTGCTACCAATCAGTTTAAGAGTATTGTGCTATTTTTTTATTCCACCGGAAATATTGATCGATTACATATTAATAGACACGGAAGTTTGTGTTTTTTATGAACAGTTTTTATACATTATTCACTTAAGAGATATTAGTATGGGTGTAAACGACTCAGTGTCTACGCTAACTCTGTTTGCACTTTTGATCTCCATTTCTTCCTGAACTGACTACCTTTTGCATATTACAGTATACTACTTATCAACATTAAGTAACTTCACTTTCAGTTATTTTGAGCATTTTTGATGTAAGCCAAATTTATTATGTTATTTTGCTAAGCGTTTACATGAACCTGTGACGTTCAGTTTATTCACTAATGTAATTGGGACTTCTTTGGAGTTGTAGCAGTTACTTGGAATTTTTGTGGACTCATTCATTCTCGATTTAATTTTAACACGTATCATTTGTATTCTTAGTCTCCGCTTCGATCACTGCCCAGTGTTGTCATTTTGACTTAGCTGCTAGTTGTTATGAACGACTTTCAAAAGACGCCAAATTGACCCTGAGGAAATTAAACTTAGAGTCTAAGGAGGGTTATAAATTACTATGAGAAATCAAAATCGGGATTTATAGTTAGGGTTTCTCCCATGAACTGGAAGCAGGTTTAATGCCTAAATGCCATTCAGCCGTATGGATGAACAAATTTCATGCAAATGTTTAAGACTCGCTATGTAATTGGTTCATCCGTAAAGTAGTCTCATCTCTTATCGTACTACTTGCGCTATATGTTGACCTGGTAAACACCTCATGAATTTGTTTGTGTAATATCTTGCATATTTTTGTGTATTAATAGTATCGTATCCTGGACAAAATCTATTGTTTTGAACTTCCAAATTTTACACATAACTTAGTTATTTGTTCAGAGCTTCGGTAGACTCAAAAGAATATGTGAACTCGGTAGTTCAGTGAATAACTCGATGGATTTTGTAACAATAAGCGCTAGGTTCGATTCTCTGTAAATATTAACACATGGATCCAGGTACACCCAGCCCTTGAATACCAGACAAGATGAAACACTCCTCCTAAACTCCACTTCTAGTTATAATCCAGTTCAAAGCTTTAAAAAACGACTTTTATTTTTTAACTGTTCAGGAACTCCTTAAAAGTGTAGAAATTTTTGTATTTTTTAAGCTTCGGGTTTTTATATGAAAATATTTGCTTCCTCTGTACATCAAAGTGATGTAAATGATATTTTCAAATTATTTTGCTCATAGCTGAGAATCATTTACATGAAACGTGTGATGACACGCTTTTGTTTAGGAGATGAGCTTGTTATTTGTCTCGAATTTTTGTGGATTCATTTCAGTGAATCAACGTTTTTTAAAGCATATGATGCAACAGTAGTCTTCGAATCAAGATAATCTACATAACCAACTAAGTAACAATCATGTGCTCGCTAATTAGGTCAACTTTTATGTGTTGGTTCCTTCAATTGGTATTGAGTCATTTTAGCTGATGTCAGTTCGTGATGAAAGCCATAAATCAATCCTAACCCTTACTGTCAACTGTAAATCATAATCCTCATTCTTCACACTGCTTTATAACCCTCATTTAGCCCCAATCAGTAGGTAGGCGTTCTCAAGGTCACCTGAGCGTCGTTCAAAGGTCGTCCATAAATTATAGTCTCACCGAGATAACTCCATGAGTCCTTGTGAAAAACTGTTACCCGCGGAATTTAGTTCGTCGAGTGTGAAGCAGTTACCTATCAATAACGTTGATGAAATTTGTTTGCACAATATTGTGAATTGTTCGAAATTAGATATGTAAACTATTAGAAGCGAACTTATTGGTTAAAAGGTTAAAAACATACTGCTAGACCTAAAAATCGTGAGTTTGATCCTCTCGGGTTGTGAATCTTTACCTCTGAGGAGTCCTACACTAGGATGAAATAGTTGTTTCGTGCTTCTTGTTGTTCACTGGTTGCTTAAAATCAGTCCATGATATAAATTATGGAAAGGTAATTAAGTGATTAGCTCGTTCGAATTTCAGCCACTGAATCGCATTTTCGAGCCGCACTTCATCTACTACAGCTTACTCAACTGAATAGTATCATTAGTTCTTACAATTCGAGTGTGTCTCAAAGTCAGGTACCTGGAGAATGAGTTAATTTTGTTGTTGTTGAGAATTTCTTGCTTTTGTCATTTGTTTTATCGCCATTATTATTAGTTTTCTCACACATTTGTATGTTGTTTTGCTATATATTTACAGTCAATGAATTATTTTCGCAGAAGCAAAGTTTAAAAGTTTTACACTTGCATATATATGGTGTTAATAATCTTTGTTACTTCATTTTTCCAGTCATCAATATTTATTACTTAATCTTGTGTTTTACAGTTTTGAGCAGCATCTAATAAAAACCGATGAATTTATATTAGTCTACGTTAAATTCTCACCTTATTTAAGCAGTTTGTAATTGATATACTCACTTATCGCTATTCTGTCTGCTTGTTCATATACTTTTAAACATTATGTCGTGTTATATTATGTCTGATTACTTGATTATTTCTCATCTATATTAGGGTTTGTTAAGATTTGGACTATACCATACTATATTTACTCATTTACTAGGTACAAATTCGTGTACTTTTATCTTCGAGTCACACTTTACGTGTGATTGTGGCTAGTGGTACAATCCAATTTCCCAGACTGAAGTCGATAAAATGATGCTTGAATGTTCAACTTAGTGACTAAAAATCGAACGACTTAACCATTGAACCACTACCCTGCCTTTTTCTCTCACTGTTTTCCTGTTGATAGATTTTCAATGTTCTTTTTTTTGTTGTTGAAGATTAGAACTCATTATATGCTGATATATGATTACTACAATCATTACATACCACCACCCTATTCCTCAGTAAGAAAAAAAACACAGACAATTTAACCATGATTGAATAGATCAAATTTTATTGATACGACTCAAAGCAAATGAAAAATTGTATAAAAGACAATAATATGAAAATTAGCTATTAAAATTAAGTAATAATTTATCAACTCATGAAAATATTTCTACTTTAATATTATTGACTAATTAATTACTCAATGAAAAATTAATTTAAACTCATTCACTAAGTTTATGTAATCAGATTAAGATGATAATTTATGGACAACCTAAAATGATCGTAATACATGTTCACCTATTAACTAAGACTAAATGTGTATTATAAATCAGAATTAGGAATTAAATTGAGGGTTTTCATCACGAATTGACATAAGCTAAAATATCAAAACACTATTTAGCCAAATAAAGAACTCTTGAATCGACCATCCCCACTGAACCCAACCAACATCGAAGCAGCACCCATCGATGTTGGCCCACCAACAATTGAAGAAATCAGCATGGCCATCAGACAAATCAAGAGTGGCAAAGAAACGGGACCAGACAACATTCCAGCAGAGGCACTAAAAGCAGACGTAGCGGCAACTGCAAGGATACTCCACATTCTCTTTAATAAGATTTGGGATCAGGAACAAGTGCCAAAAGACTGGAAAGAAGGACTTCTGATCAAAATACCGAAGAAAGGCGATCTCAGCTACTGTATTAACTACAGGGGCATCACTTTTCTCTCAATACCAGGAACAGTCTTCAACAGGGTATTGTTAAACAGGATGAAGGACTGCATAGACTCCCGACTTCGAGACCAACAGGTAGGATTCCGTAAGGATAGATCGTGTACAGACTAAATCGCAACTCTATGGATCATTGTGGAACAATCAATTGAATGGAATTCATCACTCTACATCAACTTCATTGACTACGAAAAGGCATTTGATAGCGTGGACATAACAACACTATGGTAACTTCTTCGACACTACGGCGTGCCTCAGAAAGATAGTCAATATCATACAGAATTCATATGATGGATTACACTGCAAAATCGTGCATGGAGGACAGTTGACAAAGTCGTTCGACGTGAAGACCGGTGTTATGCAAGGTTGCTTACTCTCACCTTTTCTCTTTCTCCTGGTGATCGACTGGATCATGAATACGTTAAGGAAAGCATCCAACTGCTACACAAGACAAGCCTTCACATGGAATCCTCAAGGCCAAAGGAGTAGACGAAGACCAAAGAACACATTTTGCCGCGAAATGGAGATAGACATGAGAAAAATGAACAAGAATTGGATGGAACTAAGGATGAAGGTACAGGACAGAGTTTGTTGAAAAATGCTGGTCGACGGCCTATGCTCCATTGGGAGTAACAGGCGTCAGTATGTAAGTAAATAATTTAGCCAAATAGACAAATAAATTTTGTGCCAACATCCAAGACCTATTATCTTATATCTTGTTGGCTTGTTCATAAATTACGGTCTCGCCGTAATCAGCATTGAATCATATTTTTTAATTGTATGTTACTACATATGTTGTCAGTTAGTTAACTGGGTCAAGCTGATAATATTTTATAATACTTTTTTTTTAAACTGTACAGTGTTGTTATTCGTTACTTGATATTAATTATATTGCTAGCAAGAAGTCAATTAAGCATTAAAGATGATACTTTTATAGTTCAAGTGTTTTTTAAAGAATATTTGAATCAGTTGATAGGTATTTTTTACAGACTAATGTTAGTTAAAGTACTATTTAGCATTCAATTGAAATTCATTAGTTTATATTTTTGACTTCAGTTAATTTTTCAATATACCTTGAAGATCATTGAAAAACATCACTGCGGATTGTTTAATTCTTAAGATGTTTAAACTTCACAATTTAATGTTTTTCAGTAGATTTATGAGCATTCATCTTGAAGTTAGTCACTAGTATTTAAATGACTAGATATTTCAATAGACCAATGAGAAGACTGATTCGATCCGAAAAAGGTAATGCATTTGAGCTATACATTTTGATAGTTGATTTTATGAGTTGACTTAAACTAGACCACCATTGAAAACCTTTATGCATTTCACACTATTGCTGACTAGTGAATGGCTTCAAGGTGGACTTCGTAGAGTTTTAGTGAGAAGCTGTGGCCTGTGGAGTTCAATCCGTGTCGGGTAGAGACAGGTATTTACCTCAGACAATGAATGAAAGGTCGCGTGATATCATAGATCGATTGAAGTTAGATATTAACACCGTTGGATGCTGGTTCACTGGTCTAGAGTATAAGCATCCACGCGCGAGACCGAGGATCCTGGATTCGAGTCCCGCATGCGGACCGTGAATGCGCGCTGCTGAGGAGTCCCATACTAGGACAAAACGGCCGTCCACTGCTTCCAGGTTTTCCATGGTTGTCTAGCTGAAATTGATTCATGAATTCAACTATTAAAAATTACTCCACAAACATCCATTCTGAATATACATTTTGAACAATCTTGACACATATATACCTATCAAAACATTTTATATGATAATTGCAAAGGTAAATTAATACAATAGGGAAAGGGAATTGTCGCACCACTCTAGGTCAAAAAGTGGCTTTATGGTTACGAGAAGAAATTCAAGGTTACGACGAGTTGTTTCTCTACAATTAAGGTTAAGGACTGAATTTCCGAATAGTCAAGTTTTCTATAAACCTGAGAATCCCTTCTTGACAATTTATATACATTTTAAAAGCTCTATTGATGTCGATTCTATGTCCCGTTTCGATTATGTGCTTTGCTATCAATAAACATGGTTTTCTAGATCCACGTTTATTGGATCATTCGTCACTGATTGGTTCTAAGGCCATTTGAACATATGTTCCATAACATTTGATTTTATTACTCGATTACTCCTCCCTTTATATATGTGTCCAAACAAATATGTAAATTGGTGAATACCATACGATGCGACGTGATCGTTCGTGCATTTTTTAGGTCTATTTGGAATCCTAAGCATAGTCTTTTCAATCACAACCAGTTAAACAGCATAATCTATTTTCTTGATAGCTACTTTTAGTCTGTCTCAAAACTATACTGTTTAATTCACTTCTAAATGATAGAGAGATATAAAATTCTTTTCCTCGCAGTAGAATCTAAAAAAATTATTAGTGTCAGTTGACTTTTACACTGATTTATAAACATTAATGCGCAATCGTTCAATATCATTAGTTTCTTGTCTTCTTCAAACGTATATGTATTATTCTTTCCGTACTATATTAAGTTTCTCTTTTATATACAGTTGTCACTTTGTTTTTATTTGGACTTTCATTCATTTGAGTCGAATTAACTTTGGCAAGATTATAATTTACGAACAAACCAATTAGATATAACAGATCTTGGATTTTGGCGCGAAATTCATTCACTCGTTTGGTTGAATACCATTTTGGTATTATAGTTGATGTCAGTTCGCGATGAGAATATTTAATCTATTTTTTAACCTCAACGTTCAACTGTAAATCTTAATCCTAACACTAATATCTAACCCTTATTTAACTCTAATAAGTAAGTAGGTGAACATTCCAGGATCAATTTAGGGTTGCTCAAAGGTTGTCCATAAATTATAGTTCCAACGCATCATATTTTTACAGATCAACTCGGTTGTCTCATTTGTTCTATCCAAACCTGTAGAATGAATTAATTGCTTCAAATTGGATCTTTTGTTGTTGTGATGATGAATCGTTCTTTTTTACTTTTTTTTAAAATATGTTTTTATTGTCACCAAGATGACATTACTCTTGATAGCATTTGAGAAAAAAGTACCGCATATGTACTAAAACAGTATACTTTTTTTGAACACCCACTTAAGAAGTTCTAGTTTAAATTATTCGATTATCGTTATTCATGACTTAATTCTGATCAGAATTTTAATAAAAACGATATATCACGTTTATGGTAACTTTGGTGATAACACATTGAGTTTGATGCTGAAAACTAACGGGTTCGAAGCCCATTATAATTATCAACACTAGAGTACGATTATATCTTATACAAACTCAATCGGAAGTGAGGGTAATTTATGTTTAAATTTATCAAGCGCTTTAATTAACATATGTTAATAATATGGTGTCATTTTTGTCAGTAATAATTTGCCTCTATAACTTTACACATATTATATATGAAGATAAACTCCACCTGATGACCAATCAAAATGAAGCGTGACATATTATTTACACCATCGTAATCCACTATGGAGGCCGTGTTTTGTCATCTGTTGGTTTTGCTGGCTTACATGTAAAATTTAAAGTTTTCTGCAAAGAAAATACCACATCATTATGCGACGGATATGTCAAATGTAGGGCAGTCAGTCACGATGGGAGAAAAATTACAACATAGTTCATTCTTTAGTAGAAAGTATTCCAAAATGTCTATAATTGAGTGATCAATTCAAACGAAAACATAACCACAATTGCTGACTCCTAGGTTTGAAGCGGTTCCGAGTTCACTTAGACTGCGAACGGAACAAAGACTCGTGACCAAAAATCAATAAACTAACTATTCTATTGAGTCTCAGCCTCGCTAACTAGTACTAACTAATCGAAGTCCGAACGGGGAAGTATATTCTGCAAAAAGCCAGAAGCACGAGCGATAACAAGAGACACAAATCAAAACGTATATATATAGCACTAAGCCGTCCTTGGGAAGGGTTACAAAATAGCGTACTTAAAGACACAACAGGCCAATAGCATTTAAGATTCTCCCGAGTTGGAAATACAACATGAAGGTGAAAAGAGCACTTTTAACACGAAAACAAAGTAATTCAAACTTTCAACATAAAATTACAAAATCAGATCCTTTTTCAAGTGAGTTCTAGGGATCTAACATCCCCAACACTGACTACGATATACTTAGATAACTTTAAGATGTAGAGTTTATCCCCAGCTCATATTAATACCTTGATTGTATGATTGATTACATGATATAGCCTACCCATATACTCCTCTTAGTCGCTTAAATATTAGTCACGTAAATCGCTTGATGACCTATTAGAATGCTTGTACATATGTACTTCTTATATTCTATCAGTTCAGTGATTCTTATCCGTATTCTCATATCCTCTTGAACTGTATGCTTGTCAGTTGTTTAACCTGTGCTGTACTACAATAAACCGTAGTCACCACTTCTTAGTTGTCTTCCGAAAATTATGCGTTCCTGGGAATTAGCGTATTAACGATTATCAGAGTAAGTGATATGCGAAGTATGACAAATATCTCGAGGATAAACCACTACAATCTAGCTGGTATCGGTGAATCCCATATAGGACGAAACATGCATTCACTGCTAGACACAATCTATGCACTATAAAACAGTTCACTTCAAGTATTGTTTTTATTGTTACATTTCAAATTTCACTATGATATCTCGTTGTTACTATTGTTGTTCATTTAAATAATATAGGTATCAAGTACTTTATCAAATTGGTGTATTTTTATCAAGGTCGTCAGTCAGTTTTATTCAATTTAAGACTACTTGGATTATGTCACTGCTACAAGTAAGTTCATTAATTTTTTTTGTACTACTGATCTGTTTTTAAATAAAGCTAGACAGTTATCTATAAAGTAGGACCAGGTACGTATATGCATCGTCCCTAGTTTCCATGCCTCATTAACACAACAAAATGGACACCATATTCATGGAGTCAGTTATTTCAATAGTAATATATATATATATATATATATATATATATATATATATATATATATATATATATATATATATATATATAAATGCATATAAGGATGTGGTACAGGAAGAAAGAATTAGTTCGTAGAAAGTAAGTTATAAAGCTATTTTAATCTCATGGTCTAAGGGAAGACAAAGAGTGTACACACCTACACCATCGTGATCGATTCTGAGCCATATCACACAGAGTTCCCAACCACTGGTTACGACAGACGCGCGGACCCCAACTAAGTAGTCTGCATCTACCAACATGGATCAGACCAGAAGTTAGTGACTTTATGGGCTCATACCACGTTTTGGTTTTGCCGTCCTAACTTTCTTCCAACCATCCCCAACACTAGTTAGTATTGCGTGCCGTGGTAGTCGATGGTCGGGCATATTTAATACGTAACCCAACCATCTTAGTCGATGGAGATTCACAACTTCAATTGATTTTCCGCCGTTCTTTGATACCATGCGTCTAACCTTATTGTTACTTACCTGGTGATCCCAGCAGACACAGGTTGTCGATTCATTTTACTACTCTACTCCCTATCCTTAGTTCGGGCCGGTTTCGAAGTAACAATTTACATTCCGAGAGGGAGAAGCACATCCCAAACATCCTGGCATTGTTGCTCAGTGCTACCAAAAGACTGCATTTTGTCAGCGTTTCCACCAAAGAGGACTATGTCATCTGCGTATTCTAAGTCAATATGTAGACCTCGTGGTACGAGATCAATCCCCTAAAATTCAGTCGACGATAAAATTGGGCAAAACTAGAGATAATGGACAACCTTGCCGGACACCACTTGAGGTCTCAAAAGCAGATGACACTTCGCCATAAGCCCTGACTCGACTGGTAGTGTTCTAGTAAAGAGCCTTTCACATGGATTATTTACTTCTGAGGTACACCTTTCAATAACAGACACTGCCATAGAACCTCTCGGTTTACAGAGTTAAATGCTGCTTTTAAGTTAAGAGAAACCATCATTTTCAGACTGCGCACGATCGTTCCGTAGACTTTTGGTTAGTCTAGATTTGATTTATTTTAACTTTCTTCATAATATGATAAGTTTACGAGAATCCATCAGTGCAACAGATGTCGCAGAAACTCACTGACTTTTCGTAACCTTTGAGTTAAAATCACTAATGGATGTCACTACTGTTTCTACAGCTGTTCTTATATCTTTCCAAGCGATATCTGGGTCAACCGCGTTTTCTAAATAACCTAAGTGTGACTTCTGGTGTTCCTAGAGTTTGCCCTTGGCTTTCTCATCTCTGAGACCAACTCTATTTGGTATTAATATGGCTTTTCTGCATTCTGTGAGGCGCAAGCAGATACGTGCTCGTATTAGAGCATGATCAGAGTTTAAGCATGTATTCCAGAACGATCGGCAGTCTAATATCGAGCCTCTCCAACTATAACTGATATCAGTATGGTCTATTTTAGTCCATCGCTGGTTTGGTGCAAGGGGTTGTCCTGTTAGACGATGCCACTCCTTATGCCCAAAATTAGTACTTATCAAAAATAAACGATTGCCTAAGCACCGTTGCAGCAGACGGTCATAATTATTTGTTCAATGAGTCGGAATACTAAAATACCCACCCAAATGTTTTTGTGTTTGTTTTAGGTTACTTATTTGGGCATTATAGTCACCTACTACTAATACTATGTCTGGGTGTTTAGTTTTTTTTGAAGTTCAGAATACTTTCTGTAAAATTCATCTTTCACTTCATCCAGGCTGCAGTCAGTGGGAGCATAGGCAGAAATTGACGTGTCCCTATCCTGCCGAGTTCTTGCGAACCCGTCTAATCAAACAGCACACAGGGAACTGTTAACTGGGATCTATTCTAATGGTGCTATGCCTACGCCTGCCAGTCCACTAGAACTAGCCATTGGGTCGCAAGATACATGGGGGTGTATCTCGTCAGCTCTCCGTTTTCGCTAGATAAGGTCAAGTAAATAAACACACTAAGATCCTGTGTGCATGTTTCGGAGACACAGCATACATCAATTGTATGAAATTCTAGGGTGTAAGTTAAAGAGATCTGCAGGTCGTTTTGACATAGGGTGCGTACGTTGAAGGCTCCAATGTGTAGTTTGAAGCGAGGTTTCAGTAGACCTGGGACAGTATTTCGCGCACTAGAATCGTTGGCTGTGATGATACTTGAGGAGGAAGTTTATAGTTGATAGTCGAGGTAGGTGGAATTATAGGAATTGAAGGAGATTGGTCATGAATTCAGTGTTCTGGATTGCTGTTAGAGGTATGAGGGCGGTTATCATTTCCCGGTTGTCCACACTGTAGAAGGGTTTTTCTAGAGGTACCTAAAAATGAAATCGGGTTAGGGGTGGTCTTTGTGGCCTGGGGCCTGGCCGCAGTGCCCAAGGTAACTACTTGGGGCTGGTTACACACGAGTTTTTTGTAGGTAATTTTTTTGTTATCTCGGTACTTGTTGAAACCTTACCACCAGAAACTGAAATCCATGGGATACGGCGGGGTGGGCATTTTTAGGGTCAACCTTCTCTAACCCAAATCTTCCTTTGTGGGAAGGCAGCATCACTATCATACTGGTTGTCTGAAGGAAACACCTTACTGCTGTCACACCTCTGTACAGTCAGCAGTACAACTTTGCCCTCGGACATGGTCGGACCTTCAGGGACGATTGTTACAACCATTATAGGCCGATTGGTTCATCACGATAGTCAAACCAGACCATTACATCAAGGTAGCAGCAATGGTAGGGCTTTAAGTGAAGGAATTTGACTGGATTCTTACTAAAGGATTGTTGGGATATTCAGGAAAATATCCCAAAAATTATTCTGTGAAGTCTAACGCTATCTTTTGGACTTGAGATGGTATCATTTTCTTATTGGTCAACACTTATTTAACGTGTCACTTTCCTGTTGGCCAATATTGTACAATGTTATTTTCTATTTTATGGCACGATATGGTCTGCTTGATTAGTGTATAAACAGAGTGTGGTTGAAATATAATGATTCATATCTCCGAGGCTGAGACTTGCGTTCTGGACTCGACTAGCTTGGCTACACAGGGAAGCGGGACCAATCAGAACCCTAGGCCGTTCTTATGTGTTTGCGCGTCTGTGGTCCGATCGATAATTCGCTGTCTTCTAATCTGCAGCATCACAGTTATAGCAAGGATAATAATTTTAGTTTATTTCAAGTCTTTCCTCTTTATTTGGGCCCGAAACTTTTGTGGAAATGTTTTATCTATATACATCTTACACCACAAAATGATATCATTTAGCAAACTACCTCAATCTAGGAACCACTGGGTAACTAACTTGTTCTTATATTAAACTTCTCTGAGTTGTGCAATCACAATCCTGTCAGGCAATTCATTGTTTTAGTCAATATCCTTTTCAATAGATAAATTCACTTTTTTAATATCCTGTAGGTTACTGATGTATACAGTGGATTACCTTGATATTACCATTTAGTCATAAGTTCACAGTGATTCTCAAACAGTAATTTTTCTAATTTCAATGCTTTATCTACTGTGTGACTGGATCCAGATAGCTACTTATTTGTTCAGTTGGTATAAACTTTGCTTGTAAGGATTTGTACAAACTTCAACACTAGGATGTAAGTACATCAGTTTGACCAGTTCAAAGCAGAATTAAACACTCGTTCTAGATTCAACAATTATCTACAATCCAACTTTATTGGGAATTGTACTTCGTTATTTTTGCTGACACCTAAGGATAATTATGAACCTATCCCATCCAAACACTTCACCAGTAATGTTTTTGATAGGTTTGTTTACTGGAATACAAGTAATATGTAATGAATAATGATTCTATATGTTTTTCTAAATTTTATCAGGTCAAATCAACCATCAGGATTGTTATAATTCGTTATGACAGCTGTCTAATTATGACCAAGAATCTGATACGATCGCCTCATTTTTTCATAATATTCAAATTTTATTAGACACCATACGAAATTAAATAAGTATGGGGATTCGTGGAGATTGTAGTATTGTAAAGGTTGTATTCACGAGTCGATTTAAGCTAGACCACCATTTGAAACACTGGACGGCCGTCTCGTCCTAGTATGAAACTCCTCAGCAGTGCACATCCATAACCCCGCATGTGGAGGTCGAACCCAGGATCGTTCTCGGGTGCGAACGTCTGATCTCTAGACTACTAAGCCGTCATCCAACAATGTTAATGTCTAATTTCAATCTATCCATGATATTATTAGTTGAGGTTAAGCGTTCACATATGGGATCGTAGATGTGCACTGCTGAGAAGTGTCATTCTAGGACGAAACGGCCGTCCAGTGCTTTCACGTTTTCACTAGTGGTCTAGCTTAAATCTACTCGTGAATTCAACTGTGAAAATATTACAATCTCCACAAATCCTCAAACTGATGATATTGGAAAAGTCTAGTAATTACGTGAATGAAGTCAACAAGTAGTCATAATATGTGTACTTCATAAATTTATAAAGAATTTCAAAAGTATATATCTTATTTCTGACCAATTTATTTAATCAAACTGGCTGAAGTGTATCCAACACTTACGACTACTAGTTTTCACATCAAGTCTTATGTTTAACTATTTTTATGTCTATTCATTCGACATGTTCAACTATAAATTACATCAACATATTCATAGTAGACAGCTATAGATAACTTCAACTACTCGAAATGAAAACTTCATTTCAATATACGTTACTCATTTATAAAAATGTATGGAATATTACTGAATAAAAAAATACACTTAATGTATTTTGAAAATACTGAGGTTAATTAATAAACTAACTAGTCGTTACTAATTTTATTATCCATGCTTCAAGAAGTGTTCAAATATCTACAAGTTGATTGTGACTAATGTTAATAACGTTTGATTACTTATAGGACTTTCCTGGCAGACGCGTATTCAGACTCTGCCAGGGAAGTCCTGTTCACTGCCTTCTGGTGGCGCGGGGGTTGTTTACGAAATTGAGAGGACGAAAGGCGAATGTCCGGCGCTTTAACAGGGCTAGTGGACACGGAGAGTCCACCTAGGGGAGTTGAAAAACCCTGATTCCAAACCAGTGGTGCTTTGACCGGATTCCAAAGCAATTGTGCACATGTGCTCCAGTACCCTGAGGGAACAAATGGCGTATGAATTAATTACTGGTTACCGGCTACCGTGGGACTGTATCTCTTTACGATGCTCCACTGCCTCGTGGATCAAACCTTCAGATCGGAGACTCCGGGTGTGGCTTTATAAGAAAACCACCTACTTCGGTTTGGGCACCCAGGCAGTATCACAGCCCTCATACATCAGATGAGATCTGTGTGGCGCATATGTATTTGGTGCCTGCTTGTACCAATATCTATGTGTTAAAATAAGTAATAAATAAAAAATATATACTCATAATTAACTATTATAATTATTTCTTTTTGTTCAATTATTCAAACAGGCTATGAATTTTGTAATTTGTTTATTACAAGTGATCTATTCTTATATACCATATATATGGATAATGTTCATTGTGATATTTTATGAAGGATGCCTGGGTGGTTTAACTTATGTTAACACATTTTATAATATTCTTCAAGAAGTAAGTCAATAGGAAATAATGACAAAAATACTTTCTTCGGTATATTATTCTTATATAAAGAAATCTTCTACTCAGTGTAATAAATAGGCTCTGACGACGTTATTAGGTGGTTAAAGATCGTCTAAAGCAAATAGTTAAACCAAAGTTTCGTACTAGTCGGTACTGTTCAGCAACCTATGCCTTTAATCTTTTGGGGAATTAGTGGTCATTGTGAGATTTAAACGTGGATCATTCAGCTTTATAGTTTGAGATGTCATTGAAGTGTTCTTGTCAATTGGGATGAAACATAGAGCTAGTGTATCTTTCCTGTAGTCCGGATCAGAGTAAGCCAAGCAAGTTTCGAATTTGGTACTTAGCGGCCAAAAAATGAATACCCATATATATTATTGGCTTTTCTCTTATTTTTTAACACTGATTTAATCACAACCAATGATTTCATTGTGTTTATATTCATCAACGATTAACGCCTTATACAACTGATATGTACACCAAGTACAGCTTGGTGTATTTAACGTTCAGCTAAACAATTTATGTGAGAGCGAAGGTGGGAAAATCCAATTTATTATATGCGAAATTACAGAGTGCCTTTGAAAAATATGACAACCATACATCAAATACATAATTTGCACATCTTCCTTCAGTTTTCCTTTACATGCTTCATCATTCTTTCAATTCTGTTGTTATTGCAGTTGCTCTATGTTTGCATTCTTTTTCTTTCTAATTCAATCTTCTGCTGCCGGGCATTTCACTTCTGATTGGTGTTTCATACTACTTATATCTGTCAACATAAGTAGCATGCACCACAGTACTATGACAGCTGCCTAAATCGAAATTAGTGTAGCGGAGTTGGAATCTAAGGTTTAGTAGTTGGGAACCAAATGTCTTAACCACTATATCACTGGCCCATTATTACTTATTTAGTATTAGGATGACATAGATGAAGTACACTACCATTTCAATCCATACAACTGAATTTGAAGTGGAATTTCTACTGATCTGTCTATTCTCTAAATGTTTGACTGTTGGAGGTAGTTAACAGAAAACAACTGATGGACTTATGTTTTGCGCCAATTGATACTTGTTAGCTAAACATTTCTGGAGTCTTCAGGAAGCTAATGTTCCCTGATGACTAAAAACCTTGGTCACCAAGTTTCATTCTGAAATACAACAACTGAGTTATTTCATCCACAGCTGACTTATAGTACTAAGATATAATTAATTGATCACTGACTAGTGATAACTAATTTTGCGTTTGTGTAGACCTTAGTAATGTAAACATTGCGAAATGTTTCTATTAAACTAATATATATATATATATATATATAAAGATAGAGAGAGAGAGGTTTTACCAACTCTCACATCTTATACATATATTTTTTAACTTTATAGACCTCTCCGATCTATCGTGAATCTGCAATGGCAATGGCAACTGTATCTGATTCAATTGGCGTAGCTGGAGCTGGATTCCTATCCATATATTTACATAATTGGTTATGTAATATATTAATTTGATGATTGTATTTTATTAGAAATCAACAACTAACAATCTTGACTTGTTTAATTTGTTTTTTTTGTAACCGTAACATTATTGTTTTGCATTAGATTAAAATGTTTTTAACATAATCATAATATTAATAGTAATTATTATTGATAATGTATTTCTTGATTACGTAATATGACAGTTACATTTTACCTAGTCATCATCTAATGCATTATTGCTCTCAATATAGTTGTTTACATCTCCTGACTAGTAAATTATAAATGAATGAATAGGAATGTCGTTTGGACGATCATCTGGAAACAAAGATTAATTACACAATCAAAATTGTATTCCTTTTTTATTAAAAAAAAACACATTTATATACAAAAGAAATATGATTAGCAATGATATCTTTATGTATAGTCGTGAAATGCGCAGTTTATTTTATTTTAACACATCGATAATGGTACAAGGAGGCACCAAATACATATGCGCCACACAGATCTCATCTGATATGTGTGAGGGCTGTGATACTGCCCGGGTGCCCAGACCGAAGCAGGTGGTTTTCTTAGGGGACCACACCCCGAGCCCTCAACCTACAGGTCTGATCCACAAGGCAGTGGAGTATCGTAAGGAGATACAGTCCCATGGTAACTGGTGACGAATAACTGGTTCATACGTCATTTGTTCCGTCAGGGTGCTGGAGCCCATGTGCACCATTGCTTTGGAATCCGGTCATAGCACCGGACATTTGCCTTTCGTCCTCTGATTTTCGTAAACAACACCCCCACCACGAGGAGGCAGTGAGTAGGACTTCCCTAGCAGAGGCTGCATACAAGTGACCATGTGAGAGCATTTCGATAGGGAGGGCGGGCCCACCACACTCTCGGCCATACCTAAGCATTTGGGGGTAGTAATATCTTGTGTTTGAAACGGAAAGGATTTTTATAGTTGAAATCACTGATTCATTTTAAATAATCATTGAAAATTAGGAAGAACTAGATTGCTATTTCGTTCCGACACAGGATTGAGACGAAGATCTTCAGGTCACACAGTGAGTAGTGAAATTATCTCCCAATGCCATTAGTGAGTAATTATCTCATATTCAACGAAATATCAGCTGTTCAGTGTTTCCTCATTTTCAATGGTTTAATGATAGGTTCATGTGATGAACTCTAAAATCCAATCATATTTACTAGTTTAAAGAATTGTTCGCTTCAAATTATTTTATCTAGGGTCTTTTTTTGAGGACTACAACTATCCATACATAACGTTTCTCCGTGGAAATCAGAATAGTAATCTATAATTTCTTTGACTGATACCATTACTTGTGCTCTTTACAAATTGCTTTATTCAGTCTTAACATATGTACTGCAGTAGTGTTAAGACAGAAAATAACATGACATTGGTAACTTATGTAGTTCACTTAACTATTAGCATATCTTAGGAAATGGACATTAAAACGGAATTGAAATTTTTATTAGTTAAATGGTTGATTGTTAAGTTTTATGGCAAATATATCGGCTAACAGTCACTATAATATTTGATATCCCATTATAAAATTGGCATAGCGATTAATTCAGGTATTAATCCTCAGTTATGTCATCCAAGTTTTACCTAGATCAATGAGTTTTGAAAGAAGTATAAAAGTATGCTATTATATCACAGCTACTCCTTTCATTTCACGAAACCACATTCATCGCAAAAGAAAGATTATTCGCTATGTGCTTGCAAACTTGGTTGGTTGAATTCTACTCAACATCATTTGTTCTGTTGTCTCGGAAGTTTCGCGCGTCTATCAAAGTTGTGTGGAAAAAATAGATTTAAAATTAGAAGAATCCCATCTAAGTTGCATAAATTTCCAAATTTTGTGATTTAAAAAATTATATACAACAATGTACCTTACTACTTTCAATATACCATACAAGTGTAACGTAAATAACACTGATAGAACAATAATAACGAAATATCCTTTTACAAAAAATAAAACAAACTTAATCAAATTAAAATAACATTTATTATAAGATAACATGATATTGAGTACTCTTCAACGACTGCGTAATTTAAGTATTTCAGTCCTACACCAAGTCTGCTGTTGGTTGTATAAAACAGTGGTAATGTCTGTAAAATTAGGCTATGTTGGTCGATATCCTACTAGGATGGAGAAAACCATATTCAAAATTACAGCGATATTTTTTATGTGTTGAATATCAACATCGAGAAATCCTTACCAATTATCTGTTATTAAATAAAAATGAGATTTAGCAGAACTTTGTTGAGTTATTTAGACTAATAGTCAGATTGGCACTTTCACAACTTAAGTCGATTATTATCATGGACTCATGAAACAAAACTGATTTCCGTTCACTGATCATTTCCAATCAAGTTATTCGATTTGTGTAAGTCATGTACCGGCACGTTCCGCTGCTTGTTATTTTTAATAGTAGTTGACCATGGGCTATATTAGGTTATTTAGGCCTGTTATCCCTCTTGGAGGAACATCCAAGTCTGTTGTGGGCATTCCTTTGCAGTTGCTATTCCCCCTTTACATATCTGCTTCCCGTTCCTGACGCAGCATGTTATTTGGTCTTCCTCATTTTCGCTTCCGTTCTCGATTCTAAGTAAGCGATTGTATCGTGATGCAGTTTAGTCATATGTGTCGTATACACTTACATCGTCTTTTCCTAATTTCCTCCTCAGCTGGAAGTGGGTTTGTTCTCTCCCACAGTAGGCTATTGCTAATGGTATCCGGTCAACAAACATTGAGTTTCTTGTACAGACATGTTACATTAATCAGTTTATGACAGATCCAATTGAGAATTAGGTTTTATAAATTGATTAATAAATCACTTGTAGAATATGTATAATTCGTCGTTCAAGGTCGTCTACAAATTCAAAACAACTGGTTCAAATTAGATTTTATTCAAACATTTGTGTCCGGTTAAAATTGTAGCAACTTACAGTTACAAATCTAATTACTGTGTAAAAAAGAGTCATGTTCAGTACATAATTCTCACATGATCTTCTACTTTTTCCAAGTTCCAATTATTGTCTTATTATATTTATCTCGTTTATTCTGAAAATTTGTCAAGTTGTCATTATGTATTTCTCATAGAAACTATTATTTCTTACTACTAATGATCCATTTATTATCCTATTTTAATCAATACCTGAAATCTTATGATATTTTTTCTTTAACACTTCATTAAATTATACCACATCATTTCGATTATCTTTTATAATTCTGGTTTTACTTCTCTCTATATGGAGTTGTTTGTTAACAATCTAATCGTTTGTCAAGTCATATACTCAATACGTTGAATAACTAATTAGTATCGTTATTCTTCATTTAACTAGTGTACATCAAAACTAAATACTTTAATGTATACTTGATTAGTTATTTATAAGTGAAGTACATTAAAAAAAAGATATTTGTATTAGTTGAATATTCTGAAGAGAAAAAAAACAATTTTGATTATTTAATTTAGAACATGCTTTATAAACAGACTAATAGCAACTTATGTGCAATTGAGTTTGTTCATAATTAATTTGATTAGGCTTGTTTATTAACTCCTACTCACTGGCTTCTCGTGGCGGCGGTGTTGTTTACGACATTGAGAGGACGAAAATCGAACATCCAGCGCTTTAACCGGGTTGGTGGACATAGAGAGTTCACCTAGGGGAGTTGGAAAACCCTGATTTCAAACCAATGGTGCACATAGGCTCCAGTACCCTGAGAGAATAAATGATGTATGAACCAATCGTTGGTCACCGGCTACCATAGGACTGCATCTCTTTACGTTGCTCCACTGCCTTATGGATCAGACCTTCAGGTCGAAGTCTCCGGATGTGGCCTTATAAGAAAACCACCTAATTCGGTTTGGGCACCCAGGCAGTATCACAACCTTCACACATATCAAATGAGATCTGTGTGGCGCATATGTATTTGGTGCCTCCTTGTACCATTATCTATGTGTTGAAATAAATAAATATTTAACGAACTGAGTCATCCGCGTGATTATCGTAACCAATTGTTGGAGACTCTTGGTGACATGGCTTAGAATCGAACACAATGGCGTAAGTATATGCACTCTCTGTCTTCTATTAAATTATGAGATTAAAATTGCTTCATATTTTTCTACGTACTAATTCTATCTTCCTGTACTATATCCTTATATTCAATCTTTCTTTTATATATTATCACCATTGAATTAACTACTATTAATCCGGTGTTCATTTTGATGTGCTAACGCTGTATGGCAACTTGGACTGATGCATATATGTGCCTGGTTCTACGTTTTAGCTGACTGACTGACTGACCTTTATTATTGTTGCGAATGTATGATTATGTATGCTTGAGAATTGCTTACTACCTACTCATATATTCATTCTGCTAGCTTTACTATTAGCTGTTTAATTGTTACGATGATTTATTCATGTCACTATGTATATATATACATGTACACTTTAATCCTATTCACTCGACTCGCTGACTCACTCGTTTGCCTCTCCACTTTGTGTTCTGAGCTATCTGCTAATAAAAGTGTAGTTGCTGCTTCTCTCTGCTTTCTGATTTAAAACACCGTTGAGGTAGATATAATAACGATTACGAAGGTGATTGGTTAACGAAGCATAGCCATTACAAGACAACATTTTTTTTCTTCTACAAAATAATTAGATCGTTTTGATGTTTAAGTCTAATATACAGTTTTTTTTTAAAATATCCAGATATATGTAAAACATCAAACCGTTTAGTGTAATTTCTAACTTTGCATGAAATAATGACAAATTTCACATAACAGTTATAATCACTAAGCATTCTAAGTAGTTAAGGTCTTAGCAAATTAGTTATTGAAGATTATTTAGTAAAGAAAGAAATAGTTTTGTACACGTGGGAAGATATAAGGAATTTCTTTATCAATACAATAATGAAGTTTATTTCAGTAGTTGGTGAAGATAGATAATCTTCATTATTTATTGAAATCTCAAAGAATTTTTCATTGTTGATTCAATAACATCTAAGTTGATCTTCGTTTGTGTCATTAAATATTTACTCGAATTTGAGGTTGATCCACTTTCATTTAGGCCAAATGAAATATCATATATATGTAAACTGATTCCTCAGTAGTAGTAGTAGTGTAGTGAACAAGAACACCAATGGGGATAACCGG